TAAAACAGGCATTAACAAGCTACCACTGCACACCTATTAAAATGACCAAAATCTGGGACAATTGCATTATCAAATGCTGGCAAGGATGTGGAACAACAGAAACTCCCATTCATAGCTGGTGGGAATACAAAATGGTACAACCACTTTGAAAAACAATTTGAAGTTTTCTTACAAAATGAAACATATTCTTACCATACGATCCAGCAATCACACTTGGTATTTACCTGAAGGAGTTGAAAACTTATGTCCACACAAAAACCAGCACACAGATGTTTATAGTAGCTTTATTCATAATTGCCAAAACTGGGAAGCAACCAAAATGTCCTTCAGCAGGTGAATGGGTAAATAAAATGTGGTACAACAGACAACGGAATATTCAGCTCTAAAGTAAGTGAGCTATCAAGCCATGAAAAGACAAGAAGGAGTCTTAACAGCATATTACCAAGTGAAAGAAGCCAACGTGAAAATGCTGCATACTGCATGAGGCCAACTATACGACATTCTGGAAAAGGCAAAACTATGGACACAGCAAAAAAGATCAGTGGTTGCCAGGAGATGGGGGTCTGGGGGAGGTAGGGGAGGTAACTAGGCAGAGCAAGGAGGATTTTCAGGGCAGTGAAAGTACTCTGCTTGATACCATAATGATGGATTCACATAACGATATATTTGTCCAAACCCTTGGAATGCGCTGCACCCAAGAGTGAACTATAATGTAAACTATGGTCTTTGGGTGGTTATGATGTGTCAGTGTAGGTTCCCCAATTGTGACATTGTGGGGGATATTGATAATGGGGGAGGCTGTGCATTTTGAGGGTCAAGAGTATAAGGGAAATCTCTGTACCCCCTACATTTGTTCCCTTAGTTTCGCTATGAATCTAAAACTGCTTTTAAAAAAATAACTCTTAATTAAAACATTTAAAAATTTTTTTTAGTGGCAGCATTTATTATTTCTCATAGTCTATGGGTTGGATGGATGGTTCTCCTGGTCTGAGGCAACTCAGCTGGGGTTCGATGGTCCGGGATGACCTCTCAGCTGGGACCGCTCTCCACGTGGTCGCTCAGCCTTGAAGAGGCTACCATGGGCTGGTACACATTAACAGTATAAAGGTTCCCAGCAGAAAAATAGCACAAGTCTCAATGTGCCGGCCCTTTTCAAGTCTCTGTATCACATTTTCTACTGTCTCATCTGCCAAAGTGGGCCACACAGCCAAGACCAGGGCCAGTATGGGGAGGATTCCCAAGGGCATGCATACTGAGTAGGGGGAGGAGGGACGGGGGAGGAATTACTGCAGCCATTTTTGTAAATAATCTACCAAAGGAAGGGAGAAGTCAAATATTTAAACAAAGATCTAATCTTTGAGAGCAGAGCTAGAGTTAGGAGAAGTGCTTGGGACAAAATGGAAACCCGTTTATTGGACTCGGCATCACCCAGACACACAGGAGACGGTCAGAAGGTATCTGAGGGGCCCAACCATCTGTGACCTTGTGACCACAGAGCTGTTTCAGTTCCACTTTATAGAACAGATTTCCCTCTTCAGGAGGCCCTCTAAGGAGGGCCCAGGCCCGGTTGTACAGACGTTGGGAAACACAAGATGAGTTGGTAGGATCCGTGGTTCCCCTTACTCCTCAAAGGAAAGGCTCTCCCACGTGCAGTAGTGAGGCCGTTTAAGAGCGTGCACAAGGCTGGAAGAGGCACACAGATTATTCCCCAAAACAGATATTTACGGTTAAGGACATGGAGGAGGTGGTGTAGCCCAGGGAGTCACTTCGCCAGCCACCCTGTCCCTGTGGGTCCTGGTCAGGCCTGCCCTAACATTCCCAGGACCCGGGGTAAGAATGCATAAGGAGTCCCTCACGTCCAGTGTGCCACTGTTTGAAACTTATCAATGAGCAAACAAACACATTTAAAAGTACAACTAATTGCTTAATATTGCAACAATGCAAAACTATTGCATACACAGCCCTAACTTGGGAGTCCACCACCACAGACTGGAACACAAAAGCAAGCAAAAAATAATGAACACCGAGCCCTGCAGGGGAACCACATTTGTTCTGCAAGGACGGTTGGCAGTCGTGCTATCTGAGAAGACAGATTTTGGTAAGTTAATTGGTTTATCGTTTCTCTTACCTAAAGGCTTCTGCTGTTCAAATCTCCCCTGCCATTCGAGGAGTGTCTGCCCCCAGTATTGGCAGTGGTAACCCATAAACCTTCACAGCTTTCGGATTCAGGTGTTTCCTTTCAAAGACAAAGGGCAGGAGAGGTAGGGAGGCATTTTCCCTTAAGGCATAAGCTGCATCTGTCACAAAAGTGGATGTTCAGCATTGCAGGTCATGCCGGGCTGGCCCTGAGTACCACATCCCAAGAGACAGAGGTGCCTGTATGTTCTCTGATGAATTTGTTTAGTGTGTGTTGGCCATATGAAGGATGCTCCAAAGCATGGCGTCCAGGCAGAGTCCCTCCTGCCTGAGTCTTAAAGTAGTTCCAGTCCCGGGACTTTGAAAGGCGGGATGTGTCAGCCATGAGACACCTGCTGTCTGCCACCCGGACCAGCAGTCCCAGGACGGCGACCGACTGCATGGTTTGTGTCAGGGTTTCCACGAAGGACATGACTTCACAGGCACTGGATGGAACACTTAACTCACACAGAGAAAAGACAGAGCAAGATCAGCTTCAACAGTGAGTGTCGGTGCCCCCAGTAGTGGGTACCATCCTGCGGCTGACTCGGGGCAGTGATCTGCACGAATCCCTCCTGGGCTGCAAGTTCCCACCTGCCAGGAATGGATAGAGTCATGGGGGTGTCACACATGCTTAAGCAAAACGAAGGAGCACCCACTGAGTCCGGAACAAAGATATCCCCACACAAGACAATAAGCCCAGCACGGACAGACGGCTCTTTATCTCTTGGTCAGGAAGTGCTCCAACCCCAAGGCCACTTTTTGTGGCCACCAAGGAGTTGAGAGACCCACGAGCACCAGAATGCCTTTCCCAGCGGCATGTGCAGCTGGCCTGACAGAGAACTAGGACGCTACCTCGCCTTTGCTTGGGGCGGCCACCTGAGCTCCTCCTTACTCACCACACAGCCACCAGAGGAGGCCAGACACCACGGATGGCTTCACCTGGAAACTCAAGGACCAGCACCCAGTGCAGGGAGGAACCACAACTTGAGGCCTCTCTCCTCAGAAGGGACCTGTGCGTGGAACACTGTCCTGAGATGTCACGACCTGCTCAGGATGCAGACACACAGCACATGCCCTGATGAGAAAGGAGGGAGGGGGAGTTAAAAGGCACAGCAGGAAATTCCCATAGACTCAGTGTGGATCTGACAAAGGAAACGGGCTACCCCAAGGAGGGGACATCTTAGCTCAAATATGCTGACCCTGTAACAGTGCAGGTTAGCTCAGTTTTTGCTACACAAACACATTATGCAAGCCTAGATCATGGGACGTGGTAAGAGCCGCGCTTGCAGGCAAAGATGACAGGGCACTTGGTATTTCCGTAAGGGAAGAAGCTGGAGGGTGTGCCGGGCGGTATGATGAAATAATTATAGGAAGCGCTTTGTGTAGTAAACACCTCGACTCGGAGCGCGGTCCCGGAGCATCGTAAGTGCTCAAGAAGCACTGGCCACGGTTACCAGTAGCCCCGGAGACCACTGAGGCTGGAGCACCACATGCAGAGAAACACAGCTGCTCCCTCGATTATGCCGAGCCGAGTAATGAATAGGGCTGCTATGATTCTTCAATACCACCAGTGTTGCTTGGTGGGGTGGGGGAGGGAAAAGTAATGAAAGACCTAGGAAGTACACAAAAAAAACCCACTCACAAAATGTTTGCTATATCGGGGAGGTCCCATAAAAGCCGCATATTGTGAAATCGGACGTTGGTTCCTTCATTCTTTCATTTGCTGAACAAGCATGCGTGTGGTATCGTGTCAGTCACCTCTGCGCACCACTGCCATTTCGTCGGCCCTGTCCTTTACTCCGGCCACCACTACAGCAACCAGCCCTGCACGGGCTTTGTCCAGCCCCACGTAGGTGTAATGCGGCGGCACCACACTGTGCCATCAGGCTTACCCCTCTTTTCCTGTATCAGGGACTCTGATGCTGAGGCAGAGGATGCCTGCAGGAACCTGCTCGGTCCTCAGGCTTGTGCACCCGGAGGTACTGGACAAGTACTTGTCACTGCAGGGGCTTGAAAGCCAATGGGGAGCACCCACAGCAAAGGAGAAAGTCGGTGAGTATATGGAGAGAATGACTTGTGCCCTGGAAGTCAGCCGGCCTCTGCCCTCGGCCACAATGATGATAGGACTCGAAAACAGAAAGCAAACAGGGGCCAGATCACATAGGGGCTTGTAGGTTATGAGAACGATTGGGCCTTACACTGGTGGGTTTTAAACAGGATTGACTTGGTCTGATCTATTTTTTTTTAACAGGATCACTCCGGCTGCAATGTCGATGGAAAAGGGGCAAGAGCGGAGTAAGGAGCCAAATTGGGAAGCTTTGGCAAGAATCCTGGTGAGAGATAAGGGTGGCTTGGAGCAGGTGAAGGGAGTAGAAGTGGTGAGAAATAAGATTCTGGACACAATTTTGAAAGTGGAGCCAACAGTGTTTGTTCATGGATTGGATGTCGGGGTGAAGCAGAGAGAGGAGTCAAGGGTCAAGACTGCATGTGCGGAGTCACATGAGTGGGTTCACATGTTAGAGCATTCCCATCAGTGGTCACCCCGAAAACAGGGTGTTTGCTCACATGAATGGGGTTAACTCCTGAGGAAAGAATTCTGATTAGAGGGTTAAACGAACCTCCTAGAGGAAGGATTCTTCGTAAAAGAGTCACTCTCTTTGCCCGTATTCATTAGGCAGTTGGGAAAGCCTCAGGACATCCTTGCCCTCTACTTCCTCTTGCCTTCCCAGCCTCGTTCCCTTTTTTTAGAAATAGCGTGTTGTCTATTTTACAGCCAGAGGACTGCATTCTGACCTCTGCCCTGTGACTTCCTGGTTCTCTTCTTATAAATACCAGAGCAGAGCTGGGGTCCCAGAGAGGCAGAGAGGAAGGCACCCAGGAGACCTCGGGCCAGCACTGCCTGCGCACCGGGAAGATGAAGACCTCCGTGATGGTCCTCTCCTTCCTCCTCATCCTTGCTGCCCACGCCGCTGCTGGTGACTTGACCAAGCTTCCTCGCAGGTGGTCAGGTTGGTGGTAACTCACAATCTGGGGAGGAGACAACAGAGGGCACTTTTGTTCCCAACATAGATGGGTCACTTGTTTAAAAGCAGCCTTAGTATGTACCGACCTCTCTCTTCAGCCTTCGGTCCCAGGGGAAAACTGTATACAGGTGACTGGTCCCACCTGGGGAAACAATTCTCTCCCTTTTCATGGTCAGAATTATCTGATTCTTTCTCTTAGCTGACAGAGGACCATTATGGGCTAGATAAAGAGAATTGTAGTAAAATTCTAAATTTGTAGAAAGAAGCATAGAAGTCTATGATGTTAGAACCATTATATACCATCTAGTGTAAAAGTCTCATTTTGGAGATGAAATTGAACAAGCCTGGCAAATGGCTCACCCAAGTCTACCTAATCATTCTATTTATTTAACAAATAAATATCTAGTACTTCCCATGTGCAAGCAGGCACTGTTCTAAGTGTCTTATAGATATGAATGCACTGGATCCTCCCATCAACAGTGTGGGGTAGACTGTCAGTGACTCATATGGTTTTGTTTATTATTATTGTTAATATTATTATTATTACTACTATTACTATTATTATTATTCTCATTTTATAAATGAGAAAACTGAGGCATAGAAACTCTAGGTCACCTGCCCAAGATCACACAGCCATAAGTATTAGTAGAGTTAGGATCCAAGCTAGTTAGGAAGCTGTTAACAGAAAGACAATGCCTTTTAAGACTTTATTTTGCAAGCCCCATACTCATCATATCAAGTATATTGACATGTATGCAGATGCCTCGTTTAATATAATTCATACATAATCATGTAAGAAATGAGCTAAAAGTTTCGTTATGTTTGCCTAATTAGTGTAATACGGGTCCACGATCCTTTTTCCAAAACTTTGTGGCAAGTTGTATTTTAGAATGCAGAATTTTTCAGGTTCTAAAAAGGTAATACAGTATGGTCCAGCAATTCCACTTCTGGATATACCCAAAAGAACTGAACGCAGGTACATGAGGAGGTATCTGTATGCCCATGCTAATAGCAGCATGATTTATAAACGCCAAAAAGGTGGAAGCAACTCAAGTGTCCACTGACAAATGAATGGATTGAAAAACAGGGTATAGACATACAGTGGAATATTATTCAGCCTTCAAAAATAAGGAAACTCTGACACATGGTATAACATAGGTGAGCCTTGAAGACATTATGGTAAGTGAGATACACCAGTCACAAAAGGACAAACGGTATGATTCCACTCATATGAGGTACTTAAAGTAGCTATATTCAAAGGCAGAAAGTAGAATGGCAGTGGCCCAGGGGTTGGGGGTGGGGTGGGGGGCAGGAAATGGGAAGTTATTGTTTAATGGGTATGGACTCTTAGTTTTGCAAGATGAACAGAGTTCCATGGAAGGATTGTGCTGAGCTGCACAATATGTAAATGTACTTAATGCTACTGGAATGTACACTTAAAAGTGATTAAGCAGGGAGGGTGTAGCTCAGTGCTAAGCATGCACTAGGGCCTGGGTTCAATCCCCATGACCTCTGTTTAAATCAATCAATCAATCCCTAATTACCTCCTCCATCAAAAAATTTTTTTCTAATTTTAAAAAAAGCAATTAAAGTTGTAAACTTTATATTACATACATTTGATCACATTCTAAAAAAAATTAAAGTTTTAAAACGGTAACACCTCCCTGGACATTCCTTAACATCCCTGGCAGAGTCTGGGAAGCACACTTTGCCAACCACAGTAATATTCCTGCAGCAAACACATGCAAATATTTATCCTAATGGAATAAATAAAGCCTACAAATAACCTCACTCTACTTTGGGCGGCATTGTGCCACCCAATCAGCCAGTGAAATCTGTTCTGTTTCCAGAGCCCTGTGGATTTCAGAAATGTGTAGAAACCACCAAGATATGTGGACTATATTGCATTATGTAGCTGTTCAACTGATTTATTCGTGATGGATTCGCAGTTTGCTTTTTCTATTTAGAGTCGATAGAGTATTTTCATGTCTCAAACTTTTTCAAAAATTCTCTGAAAAGTCTCAGGGCCCTGATGGAGAAGATGGGTCTGGAGGCAGGCCTGGTCCAGTGGTCCGGCATCTCTGCCTCCCTAGCAGGGGATGGGGCTGAGGAGTAAGATAGATGGAGTTGCTGCTTCCCAGCCATTTCTCTTCCCTCCTCGACTGTTTCCCCCAAACAGACCTGCTGTCGACACAGGATAATCATCGTTATCACATACAGTCTCACGGACAAGGTTTGTTATGGTATATATTTAAAAACAGCCAGCAGGTTCAGATCTGCTCAGTGGCTTCCATCCACCTTGTTTACAGGGCCTGGGGAGACGGGGAGGGTCCTAAGGTCAGTGAACACGTCCAAGGAAGTTCAGGATGGGTCCTGGGTCCATACGTGGCCTCTATTCCAGCTGGCTGTCCCGAGAGTTGTCCTTGGGGTGGGGGGGCTTCTCTCTGATGCCTCCTGCGGGCCTCAGACCCTTCCTCTTCTTGGAGAAATGGTCCTGCCCTGTTGTGGCCCTGCCTGGGTGCCCTCAGACACCTGGCTCAACCCTGGGGAAAGTGAAGCAGGGAGACACAAGCAAGTGCTGGCCGAGAAGGAAGACATCCCTCTCGAGTCCCGCACCTTCTCACCCTTCCCAGTACTTTGGAGGAAAGGATCTAGTTTTCCTCAAACTCAGTCCTTAAGTGACCCTTTCTCTTACTGCAGGCTTTCACCATCCCACTGACTGCTGCATCTCTTACACCTCACGAAATATCCGATGTGTGTTCATGGAAGATTACTCAATAACGACCAGTGGGTGCTCCCGGCCTGGTGTCATGTAAGTGCCAAGCTCACCGACCATGCCTTGCGGGGAGGGGTGGGCACCTGATGAACAGATGTCCCCAAAAGTCCTATCCTATGGATCCTGCCAGGTCAGCGGAGGCTTGCGTCCTCATTGGGATCCCTTAGGGCATCAGGGACATGATGTTCCCAGTGAAGAAGGAAGCCTGGGAAGGAAGGAGACAGTAGGAGCAAGGCTGCCCAAGGAAACCCCACAACTCACTAAGGGAGTCTCAGAGGCTGAGGGAGGGTCTGAGAGGAGCCGCTCTGAGCCCCTGCAGCAAAGAAACAAAAGAACAGGCTGGGCTGAGTGGGGAATCCGAGAGGCAGGGAGGGTGGTGCTCCCCATCCCCCTTTGCTGACCCCTCCTCTGTTTGTAACCTTTCTCCCTCTTGCTTCCCAGCTTCAAAACCAAGAAAGGGCAGCGTGTCTGTGCCGACCCCAGTAAGGAGGATGTTTGGAAATGCATGGTGAGGCTGAAGCCGGACTCTGTGATATAGAACCTGGAAAGACTACTGCTTGAGAAGGAGCCAGCCACCTCACCTCCATCTCTCTTGCCTCGACCACCTCCTAGAAATTTCCTGGCCTGAATTATTTTTAAAAAGCACCCATTACTGTTCTGTTCTGGTTACATAAGTAATACATTAATAAAGAGTATCCAATTTAACTTTACTTCAACTTTAAGAGGAAAAAGAATCTTTAGCAATGCCAAACTTCAGATCTGTGGGGTTTTTTTTTTTTCAAAACAAGACATTATAGTGTAATTTTTTTAAAAGCTAAAAATATGACTTTCAACTATAGATTGACTATGCGTCAAAAATGTATTTAACCCATTAATGAAGGAACCATTAAACTGAATGAAGATCACCTGAGGAACAGAGGTTTATCTAGATAATTGGAAATGACATTCTGAAATGTTTAATTGAGAGGAGAACAAATTAGTATCCTATAGGACAATAAACCTGTAACTTTGGGGATTATTTTTTCTACTAGACAAAAATCACTTGCATCTGTGCTTGACAAAAATTTACAAGTCAACATGTAATTTCACAAAGTCTGGGACCTGGTCAATAATAAACAGAGTATCAGTTAGAACATGCCTACAGATTTCAGGAATCCTGGAGCGGGCCTTTCAGACAATGTTCCAAAATGACATTGAAAGGCCTGCATTCATCCTTTTCCCTTATTTTTATGCTTTAGATTTTCTTCTTAATAGATATAACTTCCTAAAAGATCATCATCGTTAAAGTTAAAGGACATTAGAAAAATATTTAAAACTGGAGCCAATATCCATTTACATTCATATCTACTAAAGCATATGCATTTATATTTATAATTAGGAAATCTTGGCCAACTGTCTCATAAAATTCAGGAAAAAAAGGACTGAATTCTAAACAAGTTTTTGTCATTCAAAAAAATGTTTAAGATTTTTCTGGGCCAAGATGGCAGAGTAGAAAGACCCTGAGCTCACTTCCTCTCATGAGCACAGAAAAATCATCAATGAAAAAAAAGGAACCTACCAGAAAAGATCTACAACAGAAGACAGCAACAAAGAATCACAATGAGTTTGGCAGGAGGCAGACTGGTGATACAGCCAAGTCCCTTACTCTCTGGTGAGTGACCCACAAACCAGAGAATAATTACATTGCAGAGTTGCTCCCAAAGGAGTGAGAGGTCTGAGCTCCACTCCTGAGCCCAGGGGTCCTGCATCGGGAAGACAAGCCCCCAGAGAATTTGGCTTTGAAGGCCAGTAGGGCTTAATCTGGGCAGTCCCAGAGGACAGCGGGAAATAGAGACTCCACTCTAAAAGGGCACACAGAAAATGTCACGTGCTCCGGGACCCAGGGCAAAAGCAGTAATTTGATAGAAGCCTGGGTCAGACCCACCTGCAGATCTTGGAGAGTCTCCCAGAGAGGCAAGAGGCAACTGCATCTCACCCTGGGGACACAGACACTGGTAGCAGCTATTCTTGGGGTCTCCTTCTACCACACGGATGGACACTGGTGCTGGTGGGCACATTGTGGGATCCCCCCTCTAGCTTACTAGCCCCAGGATCCAGCCTTGCCCTGGCCCAACAGCTTGTGAATGCCTCAGGCCAAGCAACTAACTGAGTGGGAACACAGCCCCACCTTCAGCAGATAGGCTGCCTTAAGACCCCCTGAGCCCACAACCACCTCTGGCATAGCCCCGTCCACCAGAAGGCCCAGAACCCAGGTCCACCCAGCAGTGGGCAGGCAGCAGCCCAAGGGTCCCCACGGCCCTGGCCCTGCCCTCCAGGAAGCCTACGTTAGCCTCTGGACCAGCCTCACCCACCAGGGTGCAGACACCAGCCTGCGGAACCAGCCTGCCCACCAGCAGGCCAGACCCTACCTTGGTCCCTTCTCGTCTTTGACCAGAAGTTACCCAGGGCCCAGCCCGATTCTCTCTGTCCCGTGGTCCCCTCTGGAGGTGGGAACAGCAGATACCTTTCTTCATTTATGCTTGTAGCTTTATCCTGGGTCAAACCTCGTAACCGACTGTCCTGAAGTGGGGACTGGCAAGGTCCTAGCTTGTTCTTTGGACCCAAGCTTTGTCTCCCAACCCCTCCTGACTCTGATCTTTGGGTGACCCAGGGTCGTGATGGGAAAATGTTTTCTCAATGATCTTCTCCATCACCTACATGAGGATACAAGTTTCTTCAGTCGCCTTGGGTTTTGCCACCAAAATGACAAATGTCCTTTATATAGAACAGAAATTTCTTCACCTGTGATCAGCTGCTGTTGTCTTTTCTGATTCCCTACTGCTACTATAATTTTAGTTTTAATGAATGTTTTGTTTTCATACTTACTCAGTCATTTCAATGGGATTTGGGGGAGGTGAAAGAGGCAAACACAGATGCTCAGGGTTCTGGCCCGGATTTTGACCCACTTATGGTCTTCCCTGTTGTTTCTTCACTTATGGTGGCAATAGCAGCTTTTGGCTCTTCTGTTGAGATTTTGTTTCAGACGCTTGAAGATCTCAAAGAGTTGTTGGATGAAAGCAGGGCTAGACCTACGGGCAATGTGTGTGGTTTCGCTGGGTTCTCCGGCTGGTCGAGCTGTTAGCCCAGGAGAATGAAACGGCGAGCCCAGGCCACTGAGCCATGTAGCTGGCAGAGGGCCAGGTGTCTCCTGGTCAAGGCTTTGGGCACAACAACAGCAGCTGAACAGAAACGAGGGATGGAAACGGCGCCTTTCCCTTCTGACCAGGTATCTGGAAAATCACAGCAGTTCTTTGAGCTCTTTGAGGAGACAATGGTGTGTCATGTCAGGTCAATTGCGTAATACTCAAAACACTCTCTTTTCCCAGTTCCTCAAAAACAGCGTGTTCCTTTTTTGCTTCCTCGCTTTCTGCGGTGCCTCTGCCAGAAATGCCCCTCCTCCCAACTTCCCGGCAAAACTCAACCCACCCTGCAAGGTTCGGTTTAGATGCCACCATAAAACCTTTCCTCACTATGCTGGACGAAGCACCCCGTCCCTTTCTCTGGACTCCTGAAAGAGATCATGGCTGCATGATTACTTTATGTTATCCATTGTGAGAGACATTAGGGAAACCATGAGAACAGAAATGAGACTCCTGCCCTTCCATGTGTAAGAGAAGAGGACACAGTGACTTCCATAATACTGGGAATATTAATTCAGGAGCTAGTTTCTGAACTTCTATGACACGTCAAGCCCTCTTCTAGGCACTGGGGAAAAGTACGGTGAGTAGCACAAAACACCATCTTGCATGAGCTTTCTGTGCTATTCAGCTATCATTAGCCCCCCTTGTTCAATGACTTATTCAATGACTTTAATAAAATTCCATTAACAAAGTAAAAAAAAAAAAAGGAATATTCCAGTGTATAGAGAAGACTGAAAATAGGAATATGACATCTGTGTGCAAGAATCATATCTGATTTGACACAAGATTATAAAATGATTACAAATCAATAAAAAATGTTTTAAAAAATCATATCTGATTCCTCACTAAATCTCTAAATTATTACACAACCCTGGATTAAAATGATGAGGCGGTTTGTCACGGGGACAGTCAGGCTGCGACTCGGGCCTCCCCAGGCCCCAGTCAGGCTGCCCAAGGGCTGAAGAGACCAATATATTATAAGCACAGCAGTTAGGACGCTGTGCTGTAGATCAGGGCTTCAGAAACTTCAGCATGCACAAGAATCACCTGGAGGGCTTGTTAAAACACAGATTGCTAGGTCCCATCCCCAGAAATTCTGACTCAGTAGGACTCGCTGGGGCCAAAGAATCCACATTTCCACCCAGTTCCCAGGTAATGAGGGTGCTGGAGTGTGGAGTGGAAATCTGAAGAGAACACTCTGTCTCAACTTTGTAACTTCAGCTGTGTTTGCAACTTTTGCAGAAAGCATATATTTCTTTAGTAACCAGAAAATAGTGTCAAAGAATTGGGAGGGGGGAAGAGTCTTCATTGTCTTCTCAAGAACAAACAAACAATGGGCCGGCTGACTTGTGTTACTTCTTGATTTTTTTTTTCATGATGCAACTTATCAAAGCTGCTTAATTACGAAAGAAATATACAAGTGGGAAAAGTTTAAACATGGCTAAATGAGTCTGATGACCAGTTTTGAATTTTTAAAAGTAAAAATCTTAGAAGTTACTTGAAATAGCTAGAAAAAAAAATGTGCTGAAGAGCTGTAAAAAAAAAAATTATCCATATCGTTCCTCTTCTACTTTTAGAACCACAGACATTATTTTAAAAGTAATATGGCTTAGTCCCTTTTCTCTTGGTGTGGGCCAGGGCTGGGGCAGAGGGCGTGACCCACTTGGTTAAGGCCAGTGGAGGTAGAAGATTTGTTACCTAGAGAGGACATAGCAAAGAAATAAACAATGAGGGTCCCACACACCCTACCCATGTTAATCAATTTTTTTTAAATCGAAGAATATGTGCTGCTTTGAAAAACTTTTGGTTTCTTTTTTAGGGGAAGGGGTAATTATATTTATTTATCTACTTACTTACTTTAATGGAGGTTCTGGGGACTACACCCGGGACCTCATGCATGCTAAGTGCGCACTCTACCACTGAGCTCTACCCTCCCCTTGAAAAACATTTTTAACATATTTTACAGGCACCGCATACTCATCCACAGACAACAAGAGAGCCTTTAACATCTCTGATTATATTGCTGCCAAATTCCGTTCATCCCTCTGCACTGCAATTTTCAATTACATTTTTGAGTCCCTCTTTGAGCGGCGAGTCCTCTGAGGTCAGGGTCATCTTCATTCCCACCTCCAAGCCTAGCCCAGTACCTGGCATGTGCTATTATGGCAAGGAAGTAATATGGTCACTAAACCCATTCTCTCTGCCTCCTGGGCACACAGATAATCTTTATCTTCCATGCCTTTGTCATTAAGTTGGAGCCAAGTGACTTCATTTCGGCCATGTAATTTATACCATTTCCAGAAATGGGCCATAAAAACCTGCCAATCCTCTGCTTCTCCCCTTGGGTAGCAAATTTGGAGGTCTCTTGTTGGAAATGGTGGCACCACGAGAGAGGAGAAGGCTTGGTCCCTGACTGGGTGACTTTCCCAACACACACCCGCCCTCATCTCACTGCTGACCACACTGGACTGTGACGTGAGCAAGAAATAAACCTCCATTTAATTACTCTCCTGAGAGTTAGGGGTTGTTTATTATAACAATGAGCATATCTAATTTAGGTAGGAACTCAATAACTGCTTGAAAAATAAAGGACTTTCCTGTAAAGATCTGAGCAACGACTTGGCAGGTCGGCTAGTCTCCACAAAAACAAAGTCATCACTGTTTCTTCCCAACTCATACTCTTCCCAGAAACTGTTTGTTTCCTTAGATTGTCCCTAATGACAGTTCTTATCACTGGACTGGAGGAGTTTAAATAGTTTTATTACCGACAACAAATACAGAAAACTTCGAATAAATGACTGTCTCGGCACCTAAGCATGAAAATTCAGGTACTTCCTGTGAAATACACGTACTTAGACCGACCCAATTTATGTATTCATCCTTCTTCTAAAACATATTTAGAAATCACCTGCTCTATGCTAGGCCTGCCCTGCCCTAGAGTGTGGAGGTGAGAAGATGTAAACAGCCTTCTAACCACGAGAGCAAGCAGAAGGTTGCAAGTCCCCTCAAGAAGGCCACGGTCAAGGCCCCTGGGCTGAGAGTCTGCAGAGGTGGATCTGTCCTGCACCCAAATCATTCTGCGAACATGAGCAAGTCTCTGGCCCTTCCTGAGCCCAATTCCTCCTCCGTAAATGACCAGTTTAGATGAATCTAAGGATGGCAAACACAGCACGCAAGCTGCACCTTCACAGAAAGCACATGTCACTCACGTGATGCATAGACATCCAACCTGGAGCTCCAGTCCACCACTAATCAATGAGACCCACTCGCCATCCCCAAACTAGGCATTTCCTAGGTTCCCATAGAGCTTCTCTGTAATGAAGGTCAGAAACCAGGAGAAGGTTCCCAAAGGGATTCACTACCTGAGCTCAGAAAGGTAAGGCTTTGTAGAGAAACCAGGGCATTTTTAGAGACAGCTTTGTGCACATGTTTCTTCTCCACAGCGCAGTGGTTAAGAGCATAGACTTGAGGGGAGGGTGTAGCTCAGTGGTAGAGTGTGGGCTTAGCATGTACGAGGTCCCAAGTTCAATCCCCAGTACCTCCATTAAAAAAATAAATAAAAATAAACCTAGTTACCTGCCCCTCTAAAAAGAACTCAGACTTGGGAGCCAGACTGCCTGAGTTGGAGCCCTAAGTCTACTCGTCAATGGTCAGAGCTTGGGCGAGTTCTGTCTGCTCTCTGTGCCTCAGTTTCCTCAACTGCTATGAAGATTACAAGGGCTAACATTCACGAAGCATTTGGGACAGTGGCCAGTGTGTATTAAAGCAACCATCACTGTATAAGACCTGTTAAATAAAGTATCCACTGAGCATCATGGCATGTTCACCGCAGGGGTCAGCAGGAGGATGGGGATGAGGCTGGGAGGCAAAGGTTCTGCTGAAGAGCTTAAGTGAAGACTTCCTAGACCTCATGTGGGGGCCTCCAGACCTCATCCTATTACCCCCAAATCCTCTCTGATCTCCAGATGAACAGATCCTGAATCTCCAGCCCCCATCAGCCTTGTTCTAAGACCTGGAACAGGAACTGGGCACAGGGCACATCCCAGCCTTGAGATCTTCTGCTAAGTCTGAGACAGTGTCCCTGAGCCCCTGTGCCCGTGGTCTTTCTACGACTAAGAGCTAACCTCGAAGGGTTAAACTCATTCCCACTGGGGTTGGAGGACAATTTCCTCTCTGAAATCTTGGCTCCTCATGCTTCCTTCACTCCACCCTCAACCAAAATCGCTGAGGATATGAAATCGCTGAGAAATCCACTGCTTCCTACTTCCCTTTGGCATCTTAGTTCCCTTATACTAAAAAACATTTTGCCTCGATGAACATTTCTCAAAACATCCTCAGCCCAGGAGCCTCAGAAGCCCCTACCAGGCCAGCTTTCTCCCTGCAGCGGCTCCCTGCACCGGAAGATGAAGGCTTCCATGGCAACCGTCTCCTGCCTCCTCCTCCTCCTCCCCATCGCCCTGGGGTCTGAGGCTGAATTCTCTCCACGTGAGTGCAACACCTCATCTTCTAACCTGGTCCCTGTAGGGAATCAGGAGTAGGGTTGCTGGGAATACAGGAGGAGGGCTCTAGGGAGGTCTGGTGTCTTGTTAGACTGGTTCCATCCTCACCCTGCCCAGGACCAGTCCCCTTCCCACCAAGGCCATGCAGTGAGGCCAGCCTCTCTCTTCACTCACTCAATTCATCTCTCTTTGCCATTAAGCAAAAACTGGCCTACCCCATTTGGGGTCGTTAACCCTAGGGAGACTGGGGAGAAGTATCTGGGGCCCCTAAAGGCCATATTGTCCATTTATCTCCTGGGATTTGGACCCAGGCTGCTTGCAGGGTCCACCTAACCCCATGAGTGCAGCATCGCCTGGTTACGCAGTTGGGGAGTGGGGGGGAAGCAACAGTTCGGGGGTCTTGCCTAGGCCACCTTTTCTCAGCTTATTTCTTAGAATAAGCTGCCTTTACAACCAAGACTAATCCCACCCTGCAGCTTGGCCTCATTTCCTTTCCAGAAACTGAAGGGAAACAGAAGGCTGCTGAAATAAATCTAGCCTCAAGTTTGATATGCCTCTGAAAAGTCAGCCCGGAGGAATGCAGTGGGAGTGGTTCCCTGGGGGCCAGGGGATTCTTTATTCCATTCTTTGGGGAGTGAGGATGCTGCCGGGAATGGTGCTGGATAACAGGACCCTTCCCTTTTCACCCAAACACCTGGCCACCCTCGGTGATCCCCGAAGCCATCCCTGTGCACATTTCTGTCCAGGGGGGCCACATAACGTGCACACCCCCACTGTACCCCATAACTGCAGGGCCTTTAATCTGAAATGCCCTTCCCACTATCCCCATAAGTCAATCTAAGTGTGACTTTGCTGTTACCCCCTTGTACCTCTGACAAAAGCCATGAAATTTCAGAATCAAAAAATAACTGAAAAATCCAATGTGATTAAAAAAAAATGTTTTAGGGGTGGGGTATAGCTCAGTGGTAAAGCATGTGCTTAGTATGTACAAGGTCCTTGGTTCAATATCCAGTATCTCCTTTAAAAAAAAAGTTTTAACCAGGAAACTTTTTCTTCCAGCAAAATCTTACACGGGAGGCTCAATATGTAAAATGGGGGGAAAAAAAAGGTGGATGGGGTCCTCCACACACGACTGCACTCTCAAGTGCATCCATACCTCCAGAAAGCTCCATATAAAACCCACCAACCCAGTCTAACAGCCTCACTGACAGATGAGGATACAGAGGGCAACTGGGGCGATGGGCACAAAGCCAGCAGAGGCAAGGTGGGGTTAGAACAGGGTGCCCCGGCTCCCTGGCCGTCGTCCTTGGGGCTTGGTGTGGATATCCCGCCCTCTTTGCAGGGCACGCGTTCAGTGGGGACATGGGCAAAATGGGGGCACTGGAAGGGGCAGGGTCTGCATTCCCAAATGGCAAGTGTCCCAATACCCCTCCTCTTGAAGCATCTCTGCCAGCTGCCCCCAGGAATGGTGTGTGCTCACTGAGAGTATCCAGGCTGGGGTTGAAAGTCATTAGCCAGTCCTCCTAGGAGGGGATGGAGAATGGAAGCAGGGTGATCGCTGATGAGGAGAGGAGCCAGGGGAATAGTTTCAAAGGGAGCCCAGAGGACTGAGTTTCCCCGTAGCTCTGCCTCTGAATTCTGGGGGGCTGTCCCCTCCTTCTTTCCCTCCTCTACCCCTTGGGGTTGCAAAGGCAGCCGGGGAGGGGTGTCTTTAACAGGGGCCGATCTCAGCTTCCCTCCATGCCTTCTTCCCAGGATCACCTTACCACCCCGCCGAGTGCTGCTTCACCTACGTGACCCGTGCAATCCCACGTTGGCGGATTTTAGGCTATTATGAGTCCAGCAGCCAGTGCGTCAAGCCTGGAATTGTGTAGGTGGCACCCATACCCTGCGCTGGGGGAGGGCAGCCTGCAGGACCTGGGGGCCGGGTGGACCGGGAACCGGGACTCCCCAGGGGGCTTCTCTGGTGTGTCAACACAGGCAGAGGCAGCCGATGGGCAACCTGGGGGCTTCTGGCCTATCCAGGGCCCGCTGGGGCCAGGAGGAAGCTGGCCTCACCGATGGGGAAGGGTACAAGAGGGGGACGGGAGGCAGGAGGGCACTAGTGGGGACACCGAGACTAGGTGGGTCTAGGGGCCCTGAGGGGCTCAAGGGCTTGTCTCAGAAAGGATGCTGGCCCCAGGCTGCCTCTAACAAAGGAAGGAGAACCAATCTAGGTCCCATGAGGAATTTGCAAGGAAGGGAAGACTGACACTGGCTTCCTGGCTGCTGGACCCTCAGTTTGTAATCCTTCTCCCTTCTTGTGCCACAGTTTCATCACCATAAAGGGCCATGTCATCTGTGCCAACCCCAGAGATGACTGGGTCCAGGACTACATCAAGGAGCTGGAGAAGATCTGAGTGACCCAGATGTAATGGAGAAGGACCCTGCTCAGAACCTTAAAGAGAAGGGACTGAACACCCATCCCTACTCCCAACTCAGCCCCAGCCACCTCCCAGGAGCTGCCCTTCCTTGAATTAAAGACCATTCATGCCCTTCCCTGCCCTCATTCATTTGTACTGAATTTCCATTGGCAATGAACTGAGCACACTGGTGAGCCCGGCCCGGGGTGGGCACCCTCAGCTTCAAGCCTCACTCTGCAGAAATTTGGCCAGAACATGGTGCAAAAGATGGGCCAGGCCTGTGATGGAGGTTGTGGGAAGCTGAGCAGAAAGTGAGAAAGATCACCTTACAAAATAAGAACCACAATAATATCAGACACCATTTGTTGTATCCCAAGCGCGCTGCTAAGCAGCCCGTGTGCATTATCTTACTCAAGCTTCACGAACGTAAAGCTAAGAATTATCATCTGATTTTGCAGGTAAATCTTCATAAAGGCCTCTCCATAGCAGTCAGACTCCACAGTCTTTTTCTGTGTTGGTCCCAAGGCCTTTTTCTTTGTTCCCTCCTGGCTGGGATAGGAGTGATTCATGGTTGTATTTTATCCAATTCTTCCCCATCCACTTATGTTGTACTATATTGTTTTACTCATTTTTGTATCCTACATAAGGCATAGCAAAAAAAGTGGCCCACACCAAGTGCTCAGGAGTTGGATGGATAGGTGGATGATGCATGGGTAGGTGGGTAGGTGGGTGGGTGGGTGGGTGGGTGGATGGATCAATGGGTGGATGGGTGAGTGGATGGGTGAATGGATGGAATGAGGCGGGAATCAAGAGGAAGCTTATGCTTCAAGAATGACAGACAGCTGCCCCTAAAGGCTCTCAGACCCATCTTCCAGGTTCAAGGAGCTCTGCGCACTCAGAGGAAGATCATGCTCAGTGTAGGCCTGTGACCACCATTCCCTGGCCTCCACAGACAAGGGCTAAGAGGGCACCTGCACACTAAAGGTACAGCCAGGCTTTCTCAGATCTCCTGGCCTCCATAAACAGAGGTCAAGGAGGTATCCCACATATATGATACATACCCCCAACTTCCTATAAAAAGCCACAGATTCACCACTAACTGCCTTGAAACCACCAGCAGTAAATGCATTATATGTTTTTCCCTATTTATGAGCAGTCACACCAAACAGCAAGCTCCATAAAGATCTTCATAGTCCTTGTTTTGCCCCTGCCTCCCTCTGCAGCCATCTCCTGAAACATTCCATCACACCTCTAAAGCTCACAATTCATCAAAGGCAAACACTCCCCCATCTTCCAGTTCCTCCCTGAACACTCCCTTCAACTTGGAATGGGCTCCTGAGGCAGTCTAAGAAAGAAGATGCTGAGGGACCAGTCCAGCCTCAGCCAAAGCCAGAGGGCAGAAGTTGGAACTCAGGGACGCAGAAGCAGGTTGTCAGGCTCGCGGTGTTGGGGTGCCCTCTGCTGGCCACGATTGGATAACCCACACTGAGAGCGCCCAGGAGGGATTCACCAACTAGACCTAAATTAAAACTGGCTCCATTGGAGAATTGCTTGTTTA